TGCTAGCATGAAGTTCAATCTTGTTTTATCCTCACATCTCCTCCCCCCCCCTTTTTTTTTTTTTTTTAAACTCCAACTTATAAATGGGTGTCTTCTTCCTCATCCAGATCCTCCTTCGTGAGGCTGTCCATGGGGACGATCCAGCTGTCTCCAAGCTCCCCGTTCAAGTTGACCTTCTTTTCCTGCATCTCGGATAACGTCTCCATCACTTCCAAGGTGGGGTTGTCGTGATAGCCGTTCTCAATGGTGTGAAGTTCTTCCGTCAGGCGCTGCTGTCAGGAGAGGAAGGAAAGAGATGCCAAGCGTCGCCATGCTGGAAACACCCAGCCTGGCTCTCACACTCCACCGGATCTCAGACCCATGCTCCACCCCCGGGCAGTCCCAGGCCACAGCAATGGCGTACTGGAAGACATGCTAGGAGGAGAACGGAGTTCGTTCATGGCTGCCCAAAATCAGAAGGAGCCTTGCAGCCCCTAGAATGTATTTGATGAAAAGGTGTCCTGTGACTGACCTGCATTTTTTTATTGCCACCTGGCAGAGAGGCTGCTTAGCTAAACGAGGTCTTCCTGTTTACTGCTGCAAGCTGTAAGAGAATAATTCTCCTCTTCTGTCAGGCCAGTGCCTGCTAGACGCTTCATCCCCATTAATATCTACCTTCCTTTGCTGATGCCTAAACTGAGCAACTCTGGGAGGGAGGGACGAGAGAGGTTGGAGGGCTATAAACAGCCCACAAAAGCAACTCCTTTGAGTCGAATTCCAGAGACCGTCCCGACCTGGGCTCACTGCGGCTATTAGGGCAGGATCCCTGGTGCTGTAAGTACAGTAATCAATGAGGACAATTTAAGCCAACATGAGGCTGTTTGTTTCGGTCCCGGCATCTCCTTTAACGTCCCCCTGCTCCGGTCTCCGTCCTGCACATTCTAAACCAGCCAGCAACCCACGAATGTCAGAAAACGAACGGCAGATGCTCTGGTGAGCTACAGGCCACGTCCTCAGGTGGACGGAGGGGAACCCACGTTCTCCTCTCCCAGCCACTCTCTGCATCTGAGGACGTGAGCTGAAGCTCGCAAATGCTTATGAAGCCTTTTAATAAAAATTGGGAATCTGGAGAGGGGCGAAGAGACTTCTGGTGTTTCAAAGGGTCCCGAAGACCCGGCTCTTCGCTCAGGCCCTTGGCGGGCGTGTTGAAGCCTCCTTTCCCTCTTCTTCTTCGTTCCCATCTGGGTGTGTAATCTTTGCCATCTTTGTTCCTTTTTGTGTTGTTTTCTTGTTTTTAACGGTTTTTAACCATTTGTCAACTGCCCAAATTCACTGGGGGGTGGGTGGCATATTAATCATGATCAGCATCCTCCTCCTCATCCCACTTGGGAAATAGCTTGTTTCTATTGGACAAGGGGGTGATTTTTAGGGGTTTTTTTTTATTTAAACCTTTCGGGGGCTGGCTGAAAATTAGCTTCCCCGTTGCTTCCGAACTCAGCATGAAAAGCTCTCTGAATTATGAGCAAACCCTGCCCTCTTGTGGATGTCAGCTGCAGCAACAACAGCAGCTGGTAACTCCAGGGGTTTGGGCAGATGTCCTCAGGCACTGCCCTGCAGGTATGCTGAGACTACAACTCCCATGCTGGTTGAGAATTCTGGGAAGGGGTGTCCCTAACACCCGGACGCCAACACATTGGAGAGGGCTACTTTGAGCTCAAGTCAATCTTCGAGGAACGGTCTTTTGAGCAAAGAGAGAGGACTTTAAAAAGAGTAAACGTTTCATCATCAGGGGTATCTTTTGCATGTCTATTCCAGCTTCATCTTCGTGTATTCGACTCCCCCACCCCACCTTCTGTACAATTTTGCACCCTCTTGCGCTCAATTCCTTTTACAGTGGTACCTCGGGTCACGAACGCTTCTGTTCACGACCAATTTGGGTCACGAACAGCACCGTTCGCAAAATTTTGCGTCCGTTCGCGAACGCTGGATCGGGTGACGAACCAGATCCGTGGCCTTTTTCCCTGCCGTGACACGTGGTCGTGGCTCCCTGTAGGGAGGGGGACTCTCCCTCCAAGCAATAACCGCCTCCCCACCCGCCTTCCCCTCCTCCCCGCCAGAAGTCCCGGCGAGCATGGGTAGGGGGCTC